TATATACACACCCCCAAGATATAACTTGTTTTCAAAGTATTTCACTTTATTTCTTTTGAAAATAGGCAAAGCTGAGACATCAACAAATGGAAGCTTGGCTATAGATGAAAAAACTCAATGGATTTTAGAAGAAATTGAATCTCGAAGGTAGCTATATAAAGTGAAGACTTAAAAGCACCATTGAGCAAGTATTTTTCACTACTTAAATATAATATAATGAACTACATGGTATAATTAATCATAACCTAACAAATTAATTTGTGAGAATGATGTAAAACCAAAATATAGCTTAGCAGTCTTAATTAAATATAATTTAAACCCTCATCCCAGGGTTTAAGTACACATTGGTGTATTTGGATCAGTCAAAAGGAATAAGTAAAATGGCATTTATCAGGCTGGAAATTGCTGCTAAGTAGAAGCCAGTCCTAATTATATTGTTACTCATTCTTCAAAGTCTGTAGCCTATGGGAATATCCTAAATGGGAATATCATAAGAAAAAAGAGGGAGAACAACCAATTCAAAATAATGAAGCTTAAATGTCAAAAATATTAACATAAAATTGTGTGCCATTATAATGCTGTATTTCTGGGCATTTTAAATGAATTATGACTTCTACTTTCTGTTTTAAAGCATTTACTTTCAGCAGGAGCTATTTGTTTTTCATTGATTTTCGGTTTATTGAAAAATACAGGGCACAAAGAAGACAAGCAAGGGCACTTTCTGGGAATTGTGATCATCAGGAAGGGACATCTAGTGATGATGAACTATCTTCAGCAGACATGGCTGACTTCCAAAAAAGTCAAGGTCAGCCACCAAGTTTTAATGTATCTTTATTCGAAGTGGGAATTGCTTTGTATTGATTGCCCTTAAATAAATAAGCTGTATAAAATAGGAAATTTTAGGGGGAAAAAGTGTTCTTGGAGACTTTTCCTACCTTTGAAAAACTGGGATAAAATGGAGGAGCATTATGAGTATTACTGCATCTTTATAGTTTTTTTCCCTCAGCCTTCCTCATTTCCTATTATAAAGGAACCATGAACATTACGGGTTTCATTGCTCACCACGTACTTTCTGTAGTAGTATCACTTGTAATTTAAAATAACTGAATATAGTAAAGCCATTTTACCATTATGAGAAGGTAAAATATGTATAGTTGAAAGAGTTGTGGGCTTTGCAGTCAATGAGATGGCTTTGAAGAAGGGCTCCATTCAGTGTGATCTTGTACAGATTCCTTGACTTCCCTAAATCTGATGGTGTTTGCTTGTTTATTGTCTGTAATAGGTAGGCTAGTAACACCTAACTTTTAGGAAAGATAGTTATGATGAAATGAGATCATGTATTTGTAATGTTTTGTCATATAGAAGTGGTTCAATAAATGGTAGATTTTGTTAGTATTGATATTACTAAAGTGATTTTTTAATAAAAACTAGTTTATATGTCAATATCAAAGGAAAGTTTTCAACTCGGTTGATTTAGTGGTTATATATGACTGCTTATAGGAAGCTCGGTTAAAATGCATAACAAAGACTCATTTTGTTCACAGGTGACATTTTACAGGATCATAAGAAGATCTTTGAAGATGTGCATGATGATTTTTGTAATATCCAGAATATTTTGTTAAAATTTCAACAATGGCGAGAAAAGTTTCCTGATTCTTACTATGAAGCTTTCATTGGTTTATGCATACCAAAGCTTTTAAATCCCCTAATACGAGTTCAGTTGATTGATTGGAATCCTCTTAAGGTATTTACGCTTAACATGTGAAAAATCCTGATGACATTAGTTACTTAAATTCCCTTGTTATCAGGTTAGCTATAAAATACCTCACCTTTAGAGTTGGAGTTGATAGTTGGTGATTTGGAGTAATAGTCTACATCTACCTTTTCTTGGTTTACACTTTATTTTTGAGGCTGAGTGACACTAAACACCAGTAAAGGAAACATTTTTTTTTTTAAAGCTGTTGTTTGATAAGTTTAAGGTCACTCAAAAAATAAAGGTAATTTTAGGCCTTAAGAATTTTACAGTCTTGGGAAATAGACATGTACCAGTTCTGAAGTTGGAGATGACATCTTGGGAATAGTTGGTTAGTGAAGCTAGTGCATTGAGGAGGAGGGATTTTAATGGGGATTTGAAAGGTATATAGGACTTAAACGGGAGGGGAAAGAGGAAAAGGTATTTCGTAAAGGTGCATAGGGAGAAATAGTGTTCAGGAGGTAGACACTGCACAGTGTTCAGGTCCTAAATTAATATGTATGAACTTGCTTTGGTAAATAATGGGAGGAGTGACATGATGAAAGTAATGGTTTGGGAAATCCTAGCAGTAGGCTAAGTAGAGGGAAGGAAGATAAAAGGTGGGAGTATATGCTGGAAGGATTTGCTGTAGCTCAAGTCCAAGGTGATGAATTCCTTATGTAGGGGGGTAGTAATGAAAAGAGAAAAAAGAGTTGATTACAAGAGATGTTATAAAGCAAGAATCAGTAAAATGCTAAGCATAAACCTAACACCCCACATCCAAAGATACCCCAACATTTGGATTCTGGGTTGTTAGAACAAAGGTAGTTTCATTAATAGAAATGGGGACTTTTCAGAAAGGGAACAGTTTTTAAAGGAAGTTTCACTTTATAGAGAATGAAATAATAACAGGACATCTGTCTAGATATGCCTGATAAGGAAACAGAAATGAGATCATGAAATTCTAGGAAGAGAGGGGAGCTGAAGGTGAAGAGTTAGCAAAGAGAAGGATGGTGTCATGTCCTTTTATCTTTCTCTGCCCTAGTCATGCATGGCTGTTGGCTCTGTGTTAGGTTCAAGGCCATACAGTCTTCATAGTATAGGAACCAAGCTTCTCTCTAAGAAAGTGGTAGGTAGTTGATGGGACAGCAGCCTAGTTGTTAACCACTCAAGCTGAATGGAGTACTCTGATAGGCCCAGCAGAGATCCATTAATTCATTCATTCAACAAATAATTGGCCATTTGCTATTTGCCTAGTAAGCTAAATCACAGGCAAAATACACATTTGTGCTTATGAGACTTGAGGGAGCCAGAAATGAATTTTGCACAAGGTAAATAAATTTGTATAAATAAATAAGAATAGCACTTATTGAGTTATCTTCTTAAAAATGTGTATTTTGCTCCTGACAGTGCTTGCAGTATAGTCAGCTTTTAACATACAGTGGGCATTTTGGGATTTGTCATAAAAATGTATGAAACGCATGCATATTGCATAGACATCCTGTCTTACTCTTGTCATCCTGCCTAGCCTTGGTGTTCTAGTACTGTATATATGGAGTTAAAATATGGAATTATTTGCTTTTGATCCTTAGAAAGCTCCAGTAGTTACTGAAAAAGTTAGCCATTTAAAAATAAGCTAATGCATAAGAATTTATTTATAACTGATAATTTTATTTATAAGTTTGATTCCATAGGTTTAAAACAGATGCCATGGTTCACATCTATAGAAAAATTTATAGATAATAGTATGGAAGATTCAAAGAAGGAAGATAGTTCTGATAAGAAAATCTTGTCTGCTGTCATCAACAAAACAATTATTCCACGACTTACAGGTACTGTTTTGTAATCTTGATTAAATTGTTTTGGGGCAAAGTATAAGATCATTATTTTCTGTTACAGTTACAATTTTTTTCTCAGAAGTTTTTTAATACAAGAAAATGTAATAAGCAGTAAAAATCAACAGGTGTCATAATTTAAGCTGGTTAAAAAATGCTTGTTGGTGCAATTGATTTGCTATCAAACTGTTGATAATCTTTAGCCTTCAGCATTTGTGACATTAGTATTGCTTTTATAACTCCTAGGTCATTTATTACTGGCACACCTCTATCCCTACTACATGTATTATTTTCTCTTCCTTAACTTGTCCCCTTATGTTTCTGGCCAGTGTAGCTCAGGGTTCACTTGAGTTTCACGGTGATGAATTTAAAGTGTAGTTTTTTCCAGCCACTTTTTAGTTGCATGATTGCAAGAATAGACTCGGTGACAATGTGGATTTAACAAGGGGTGGTTTAGCCAGACAAATTCAGCAAAACCCAAAAGGACAAGGAAATTGAGGATGTATGCAATGGTAATGATTGGTGTGGATTTTAAACCACAAAAGGCAGTAATCTTTGCTAAAAAGCTTCAGTTGTTTATATGTAACAAGCAAAGCGATTGAGTAAATAATTGTACACCATTGAAATTTTTGTTTCAGACTTTGTAGAATTCATATGGGATCCTTTGTCAACCTCACAGACAACAAGTTTAATAGCTCACTGCAGGATGATTCTTGAAGAACATTCCACTTGTGAGAATGAAGTTAGTAAAGGCAAACAGGTAATAATTTCTAGAGTTATAAATTTCTTAATTTATTTATAAATCAATATAATTTATTATAAATCTTTGTTTACAGAAGAAGCACAAAAGTAATTATCAGAAAACTATTTGGGGGAAAATATACTTAGTTCTGATTTATAGAAACTAGGGCTCTAGCCAGTGTGGTTCAATGGTTAAAGCGTCAGCCCACCAAAGGGTTGTGGGTTTGATTCCTAGTCCAGGGCACATACCTCAGTTGCAGGTTCAATCCTCCGCCCAAGTTGGGGAGCATTTGGGAGGCAACAAATTTATGTATATGTGTCTCTCTCCCCATTCCTCCTTCCTTCCTTCCACTCTGTCTGAAAATCAAGGGAAAATATCCTCAGGTGAGGATTTAAAAAGACAACAACCGCATTTTGATGAGGGTGTAAGTAAACAGGTTTTCTCATACACAGCCAGTGGGACTATAAATGGGATGCCACTACTACTTCCTAAATACATGGGCAAGAACTTTCATAGCAACGTTATTCATAATAGCCCCCAAACTGGAAACCATCTAAATGTCCTATCAGTAGCATTCATGCAACAGAACACTATACAGCAGTGAAAATGTACCAACTACAGTGACATGCAATAACATGGATGAACGAAGTTCTCTTGTACCTAATTGATATTTTAACACCTAATTCGGTGTGTGTACAAAATAAATTACTTCTTTTGGTAAATATATTTCAACCTATGACTATCACTGATGCGTTTAAATTTTCAAATAATAGGACTTACTTAAATCCATTGTTTCAAGAATGAAGAAAGCAATAGAAGATGATGTTTATATTCCTCTGTATCCAAAAAGGTAAGAGCTATTAATGTCTAGATTGTATAAAATAATCATGTAATACAGATTTAAGAATGTAATACAAAAGAAACTATACTAAGTATTTTCAAAGTATACATATACCTGTTTAGATACAAATTAAGATTTCAGTATTTCTCAGTTACCTTCTATATACCATTTTTTTTTTTTTGAAGATTTTTTATTTTTTTATTTTATTTTATTTTATTTATTTTTTTTTTTTTCGCTTAAAGTATTACAAAGGGTATTACATAAGTGTCCTTTTTTTTCCCCCCCGCCCTTGACACATCCCTACCCTCCCTTACCCCCCAGTGTCTTATGTCCATTAGTTATGCTTATATGCATGCATACAAGTCCTTCGGTTGATCTCTTACTCCCCTCCCTCCTGCCCCCCAACTCTCTCTGGCCTTCCCACTGCAGTTTGACAATCAGTTTGAGGCAGCTCTGCCTCTGTATCTATTATTGTTCAAAAGTTTGTAATGGTCTTTATTATCCATGAATGAGTGAGATCATGTGGTATTTTTCCTTCATTGACTGGCTTGTTTCACTTAGCATAATGCTCTCCAGTTCCATCTATATACCATTTTTTTGTACAATGCTTGACACTTGGAGATAGGGTGGTTTATTTGTTTTTAATGTTATTCTTAAGAACATGATAGGTGGCATAGCAGAGTAATTAAAAGCCCAGATTTACCATCTATAATAATAATAAAAGGGTAATATGCTAATTAGACCGGACAAAGCCAGGGCCGGAGGGAAGCCCAGGTCCCGGGTGCCTACGGGTGGCCGGAGGGAAGCCAGCCTGGGTCCCAGGTGCTAGAGGGAAGCCTGTGCCGGCAGCCGGGGGAAGGAAGGCCTACTCTTTCACAAATTTTGTGCATTGGGCTTCTAGTTACTAGATAATGACCTTGGGCCTTTCTCTGTCCTCAAATGTAAAATGGGACATTAAATTAATGCCCACGTTAAAGGACAGTGTGAAGGTGAAGAGTGCGCCAAACAATGCCTGGCACAGAGAAAGCACAGCAGAAGGCCTGGAACATCACTGAGGGGCCAGAAACTGCATCTGTGAATTCTGTATTTACTTAAATTATGAAAGTAGTATTTGATGCATGTCATACATTTGCTAAGAAGACATCAGTTATAGTTATGGATCATGATCTGAAGCTACCCAGCAAGTACTCACAGGATTGAAGAGTTAAATGTTATTTATATTTAAAATGAAAAGTCTTACTCCATCCCACTCCTGACCTCCATCCACCCAATTTTTGACCTTTCTCCACTGTGTACATGAATGCATGCAATAATAATAATCAGTAATTTTTTTTACTTTTCCAGTTTCTTTATGCAGTTAGAATTAAATACTTATATATTGTAATCTTATTTCCTCGCCCTTTCAGTGTAAATAGTTGTACACTGTTTTTTTGACTTAGTACATCTTTGAAATCTTCATCTAAGTAGTTTGTCATCATATATATCATCATAAAGGTAGTTTCCTCATTTCTTTTTTAAGCTGCATTAAATATGCTATCATGTAGATGTACTGTAACTGATGGGCATATAAGTAGCAAACTATTACCAACAGTGTTGTGAATAATGTTATAGATATTGTGTACATGTGTAAGTATATCTATAGAAGCCATTCTCAAAAATAGGTTTGTTAGGTCAAAGTGTGCATGCATTTGTAATTTTTATATTATATTCCATTAAAATTTAGTGTGGTTGGTTAAAAAAAACACTGTTTTTTAAACTCTGTTTCTGAAAGATTAACAGTTCTTTGTATTTTCTCCTTTGTCTTTCATTTCACATTAGTGCTGTAGAAAACAAAACATCACCACATTCAAAGTTCCAAGAAAGACAATTCTGGTCAGCTCTAAAGGTAAGCAGAGAATTGCAAAAATAAAAAAGAATTTTCTTTTATCTCCAGTTTACTATATATTCCACTAGTAGCCTAGTGCAAGAAATTCGTGCACATTGAAAGGGAATTAGAGGAACGTAATTTGGACTCACTATCTAATATCAATAATATGTGAGCATGAGGTAGTCCATGTTTCTGAAATTCAATGACATGAATTTTAGCTATTACTTTGCCAAATAAATGGAATTTACAGATATCATTTAAAAGAGCATTCAGCTTAATATTAAAAACTAGCTACCAAGTCAGGTCTGTTTTCAACTTTTTGCCAGCATTGTAAATTGTTTGCAATATCTGCCCATTTGGGGTTGCATGTCATGGTTACGAATAAATCGGGCTTGCCATACTTCGTTACAATTGCCATAGCATCCTGATATTGCTGCTGCATGTTTCTGGGACTACCCTCAGAAAATGATGTAAGTATTATCATTTTACCAATCGGCATATTGTCATTTTCAGATCTAAATTTGAGATAATCCATTAAACCACTATATTTTTCAACTCTCAACTTAGATTGGTTTGCTTTGATGAAATTTATCCGATTGGCCTCCATTTTTTAATATGAATCCATGATAAACTGTTGAGTTAAATTTTCCTGCATTTAAAATAGGATTGAACATATCCCGCACAGAGAGCTCAAATCCATAATACTGCATTTGTGTGACTCGTGTCCTTACATTTTGTCTAGTATTATTGTCGATTACACTGCTGTCTCTGAGTCTTAATGCAATATCTGTTCCCCAGCCTTTTTCACCATGTGGGAAAAGAACAGGATATGTCATTGCATCTAATGTAGGAAACAGGATATTGATTTGTTTCATTTTAGTGGCATTTGGATTATTAGCACTTGAAGTGCGGGAAACGAGTTAAGTCGGCTCGCGTGAATTGCGCGTACTCCGCGGGAGCCGTCTTTAACTCGGTTCATATAGATTTGCGGTGGAGTGCGGGAAACGTGTAAACTCGGGCCGATTGTAACTGCGTATTACCAAATATTTGTTTGTAATCCACCCTTTTGGTGGATGGAACAAAACCAAAAGACAGAGCCATCTTATATTTTGGCGGGAAATTCACCCGCACTCCAAGTGTTAGGATCTGGTTTACAATGAATGAGCAAGTCCCTTTCAAAAGGAGGTTCTCCGTCTTCATTTCTGAATATGACAGCAACCTCGGTTACACGGGGAGAATTATATCTACCTGGGTCACTGTTACGCTCGTATTTAATCGCCATTGTTACTTCTGTGGGAGCAATACCTTTTGCTGATGCTTCAGATTGGGCTTCCTTTTCTACCTCATGTAGCATCTTGTATGATTTTGTTAATTCACTTATTTCATGCATGAGGTTGTTGATGTTGATCATGAGTCTTTCTGAGCAGCCCTGGTTTTCTGGCATTGCTAATCTTTTACTTGTAGCTTCAGCTGTATCCAAAATAAAGAGTTGAGCAAACTTCTGAGAAACACCATCCAAAGGATGTAAAGTTCCAGTACGATGATAAACTTGTCCGCATATTCTAAAAGAGTATGGCCCATATCCTGATGGTGATGCAATATTTGCACCCATGGAAGCAAAAGCAAAAGAACTATTTATGGAACGAATATTTTCCATGAAATTTTTACTGTCAGAATCTTCGTTTGTCATTAATCTTTTTAAATATGCCGGGTAATCTGGAAAATGTATATCATTTGGACAGATTTTCCCTTTGCTATAACATCGAGTAAATTTCCCATTGGATGGTTTTTCATCAGAGAAATTTAGTGATAGGCAAAATTCACATCAAACAGTCATTCCACCACAACTATGTTCAAGAATTGCATCCTCATGTACTCCATTTTCACTGAGAAGGCAGTTCCTACTGATATTGGTAGTACTTGTTAATGACTATTTTCTAGATATATTCTGTCATCGCCACCGCTTTCTTTCAACTTCAAAGGCACGTTGGTCTTTAGACATTTTCTGTCAATAACACCGGTGTTTTTCGGCATCAGAGTGACGTTTTTCCAGTAGCTGATGTTCAGATACATCCTGTCGCAGGCTCCGCCTTCTTTCAAGATCAGACGCACGCTGCTCTGCAGACATTTTCTGTTGATAACACCGGCATCTTTCGGCTGCAGAGCTACGTTGTATCATCTGTTGTTCTTTAGACATAGTCCCACCTCTCTACTGTCACAGTCTGAGATGCAGGTGAATGAGAGTCCTGGCTATCAGGCCACTGAGAGCTGTCTGACCAAAGGCTCATTCTGGCTGATTCTGTGGGGGTGGGACTTCCTTTTCCCTGCTGTCAGTTTCCACAGCTGTGATGAGGAAGGTGGGGTGACAGAGGGAGCCGTGCCCTCCAAGCTGCCCTCTCTCTCACTCTGCTCTATGTCCAGTGGTCTCCTGCTCTGCCAAGTCCTCCAAACCTCCCCGCTCTCTGCCAGCAAGGTCCCAGGAGCCCGCAGGCGTGCGTGGCTAGGCTCGGGCGGCCTCGCCTCCTAGACCCGTGAAGGTCCTAGGAGCCTGCAGGTATGGCTACGGCTCACCTCCCGGGCCTGCGAAGGTCCTGGGAAGCCCGCGGCCACGGCCACCATCGCCTCAGGGGCTCCTGACACCTGCATATGCAAATTAACTGCCATCTTTGTTGGGTTAATTTGCATAGTCACTCTGGCTTGTGGGCGTGGCTTGAGCGATGCGGAGGGATGGCTAATTTGCATGTTTCTCTTTTATTATATAGGATTACTATGTCAATGAACTTCTGTAAAGGACCAGACTATTCTTGCCACATAGTCCCTGTTGAACTATTCAGCTTTGGTGCTGTAGTGTAAAAACAGTTACAGACAATTCATAAACAAATGAGCATGGCTGTTTCAATAAAATTTCACTTATGGACACTGAAATTTAAATATCATATAATTTTCACATCACAAAATTTTCTTCTACTTTTTTTAATCACTTAAAAATATAAAAACCATTCTTAGTTCACCAGCTCTGCAAAAACAGACAGTAAGTTGGATTTAACCCACAAACCATAGTTGGCTAACCACTGGTCTAAAAGGTAAAAGAAGAATTCAATGCTAATCAGTGGCAATAGGGATGGTAAAGAGAAGAGGGTTCAAAAGATATGTAGGCTGAACCACTGAAAGGACTTGACTGATTAGTAACATGTGAAGGATGTAGAGTGCTAGCCAAGGTTCTGACGTTAGCAGCCTGGTAATTTATGACATTCTTTGGGGACACTGGAGGGGATACAGGAAGAACAGGTTTGGGAGGGAAGATAAGATCTGTTTTAGACATAGTAAACTGAAGATTCCTGATAGAAGATCTAAGAGGCTATTGGATATGTGAGTCTGAATTATAAGGGACAAATCTGAGCTAGAGATTTGGGGGTCAACCACATGTGGTATTTGGAGCCATAGTCATGAATACAATCTTTGAGGAGATGAAGTATGAAAAGAAGCCCAAGGATAGGCCTTGGGAAACACTGACACAACAGGTGGGCAGAGAAAGTGGAGTCTTCAAAGAAGCCTTAGAATGAACTATGAAACTTAGAATGGTCACAAGAGAGTTCTGGCATCAGGGAAACTAAGCAAGGGGTTATCGAGAATTAAGACAGTGTTAAATGCCACTGAAAAGAATTAGGAGAAAGCCTGAAAATGTTTATCAGAGTTGACTATTAGGAGATCATAGGTGACCTCAGCAAAAATAGTTTTCAGTAGGGGTGAATTTATGTTTGTCATGTGGTTGAGGCGGGAAAAAGGCTTTCCAGGAAAAGGGAGCAGTATCACAAGGACAATGTATAAAAAAGCATTGCATATTAGTACAAT